ACGTTATTAGAAGGGTAGAACCTCTGAAAATAAAAAACACAGTGAAAAAGGTACTTGAGGTTTACTGAAGAGGCTGTGGACACTAGAAGTTTCGTTCGTATTCGTTCAGTATCCAAGTAGCATACTCCAGTTTATTGCAGTGGCACTCCGTCTCTGTCTGACGACTGTGCAGTTCTGAGAACATGTTTCCGTCTTATCTCTGTTACCCTGGTTCTGATCAACCACGATATCTGAATTTTCCAGTTTCGATGTCAGAAATATTCAAATCTGCGTACAGTCCGCGCGACAGTCGGAATGAAACTGAAGGTTAGTTCTCTCTACGTTCTTCCCCGATATCAGTTTATCATTTCTCCTGATACCGATTGTCATAGATTTCACTCAATGTTATTGACGAGAGTTTAATTTATCAGTAGCACTGTCCGCTCAGTAATTTTTCCTTTAGTATACCAATGCACCTTTCTACTTATTAATGGACAGGGTGTTTATTTTGCTAGAAGAAATTTTTACGTTGGCGATATTAGGAGCCTTAAGCAAACCACGACGACGACGACGGCAACTAGAACGCCTGTGAACGTGCATTATAAATCTTTGTAAATTTCTTTGCTGTCCTCTACATTCAACAATGTGAAATGACCAAGTTCAGTGGTGTCTGAGGAACGCGAACGACAACGGCTACTAATTTTTCGTATTCCCATTTGGAATTGAACGCTGTCATTGCATATTTAGCCTGAGCACGTTTTTAGAGCTATAGGTGTACTGAACGCATCTAGACAATTGCGAGTTTCGCTGGTAAAATACATATTTCTTTTTTGACTAGGTGTCATTCTCGGTCAAACTCCCTATTAGAGCAAAAAGTGAACATCGTAGTCTCTTCTCAAAGCTGGGCTTGAATTAATTCTGCTTGTAAATTGGCCTATTTTTTCTGCCAGGCGCAGTGTTCGTAAAAATTGTAGTCTACTTGTAAACATCTTCTCAACCTAGTTGGTCTGCTCGTATTCTGGTCATTAGAACAACAACGGAAACCATTTTTTTTTTGCCCTTTACGATGTTGTAATCTTTTTCTCTGACTGGCATTGCGTACTGATTTTTCATAGTACTAGCAGTATCCTTTCCACAGGCTCCCACAAATTATTGCTTCGAACTTACAAATTTCGCTTTTGGCCTTTTTTCGCTTATTCTACCCAAAAATTATTCTACCCGAAAAATTTTCTTTGCTTAAACACCAAAACATGGACCCTTTTTTAAAAATTTCTAT